GTTCGATTTTTGTTCCCTTTTTTCTTCTACTTTTCTGTTACGCGCATGATATTCGGCCTCCCAAGGAAAGAGTTGGGGTTGCTCCGCCCCACGCCCTTTCTTTAATTGGTTTTCTTTTGAGTGATAAAAAGTTGGAGGGTTTGTCCTGCTTTTTTACGTTTTGCAACGGATATCTTGTCTTGGCGGAGGAGGAGATAATGCTGGTGTCTCATATATGCGCTCCGTGGTTTTCTAAAATTATCCATTTCCACTCCGGAGATTTTCCCCGGGGGAGATTTGGGGGGGGGGGGGGTAGGGGGGGTAGGGGGGTGAATCTTGCAGTGTATTTTTGAGGATTTCGTCTGTCTTTAGTTTGTTTTTCTCTTATTGTTTTTTTTTTCTTTCTTGGCTGGCCGGGGGAGGGGGGGAGGGGGTAGGAGTTGATGGGGATGTTCTTTTTTATGTTTAGCCATATTAAATTGAGGTTCTTACTTGATTAGGGGATTTTGTTTTTGGTTTTTTGGGGGGGAGTCAGGTTGGGTGGGGGTTGTTTATTTATTTGTTCGTTTGTTTGTTTGTTTGTTTCGAGGGTGAAGAGTTGTAGGGGGGAAAAGCTTGATTTTTTGTTTGTTTGTTTTTTTGTTTTTTTGTTTTTTTTTGGGGGGGTGATGTTTTAGACGATCGGGAAACATTAGCCACCCACGGCATCCCCCTGACCCAAGCTCTCCGGCTGGCGACAGAGAGACGTTTTTTTCTTTTCGCGACACCCAAATGGGTATAAGCGGCGGATAAAAGTAAAGAAGAAGAAGGATTCATAGTAGCAAGCGGGGAGAATGGAGGAGAAACCTTGCTCCACCTCAAAGACGCCCTTTGAATTTGAAGAGAGGAACAGTAGGAAGCTATGTGTATTTTTAACTTTTTATTTAAATTCTTTGGGGGGTGTGCTTGGTGGGAGGGTTTTTTGTTGTTGTTGTTTTGTTTGGTTGGTTGGTTTGTTTGTTTTTGTTTTTATTTTGTTGTTGTTTTGTTTTGGGGATTTTCTGTGGGTTTTTTCCCCTGTTTTGTAAACGGGGGGGGGGGGTGGTGGTGAGGAAAGATTGAGTGATAAATTGCTGTGTTGTTCTGAGAATTCCTGGAAGAGTGCGCAGCATTTCTCTATGGCCATGCGTGCTTTGACCCCGTGGGCGGGCGGGAGGGAGGTCACCGCCGTTGTGGTCCTGGAAGGGCTACACTAATCTTTTACTTGCGCAGAACAATCGGCGCCTCAGGGTGTCTTTTCCTTTTCCACTAGGCTGACCAAACAAGAACTAAATCCACCTGCAAATATTGACAAGATAGAGCTCCAAGTCGCGCTGTTCCCAATCTCACAATGCTGTAACCTTTGCTTGAAACTTTTGTTTACTCTTTGTGGGGGGATATGATTAGTAGTAGCCTACGCGGTAGATAGAGAAATCACTGGGAAGGGCACATGACCTAAGGCTGTTCTAGATAGTTTTTTTGTAGTTCTAGCTTTTAGATAATCCCAGTCAGAAGGTTTTTTTGGTCGTTCTAGCCTTCAGATAATCTCAATCAGAAGGTGGGGCTCGTCACGACCGATCGTTCTGAACATGGGGGAGAAAAAGATAATCTGGTTTAGTTGTTCTTTGGCCGCTCATCGCCCCGAGCGGTGCTTTGGGTATTTAGGAGGCGCAGTACCATTGTATTAACCCCCCCTCCCCCCCAATCTCTCTCTCTCTCTCTCTCTCTCTCTCTCTCTCTCTCTCTCTCTCTCTCTCTCTCTCTCTCTCTCTCTCTCTCTCCTTTATATATATATATATATATATATATATATATATATATATATATATATATATATATATATATATATATATGTATATGTCTGTCTCT